TTTATTCGCTCGAGTTTTTTTTTTTTTTTTTTTCCAACTCAGTGGCTTAACATGACGGAAATTTATTCGCTCGAGTTTTTTTTTTTTTTTTTAAGATTTCATTTATTTATTTAAGGGAGAGTGAAAGCGAGAGAGACCACAGAGGGAGAGGGAGAAGCAGACTCGCCACTGAGCAGGGAGCCTGACGCGGGGCTCGATCCCAGGACCCCGGGATCATGACCTGAGCCGAAGGCAGACGCTTAACCGACTGAGTTACCCAGGTGCCCCTATTCTCTCAAGTTTTGGAGGCCAGAAGTCCAAAATGGGGCAGAGATTAAGGTGTCCGCAGACCTCACTCCCTGCGAGGAGGCTCCAGGGTTGGGGGGCTGGGGAGACGCTGTCCCTGTCTGTCTGGCTCTGGACGCTGCCAGCACTCCTTGTCTTGTGGCCGGACCCCTCCCTCCAATCTCCACCTCTGTCTCCACGTTGACTTCTGTGGGCCTATGTGTGTTTGCGCATGCGCGCGCGCGCGCGCGTGTGTGTGTGTGTGTGTGTGTGTGTGTGTGTGTGTGTGTGTGTGTCTCCCCTCCGAGCCCTCACCAGAAGCAACTTGAATGTCCATAATTCTGCCAACAGTCTAATTAAGACAAGGCATGTTTTCTTTCTCTCCCGTGCCTCAGAATTCTTCCAGCTTTTACCCATTATTCAATTCTAAAGCTGCTTCCACATTCTGAGATCTTTGTTATAGGAGGACTCCATTTCCTCATGGCCAGTTAAATCTCTTCGGTTAATCAAGGTGTTTGTAGCACAATCTGGCCAGCTCAGAAGCATGTCATGATGGAACATTCTAGAGGACCTGTGATATATTCCTTTAGCACCAATTTCCTTTTTATAGTAACCATTTTGTTTGGGAATACATCTGCAATGTATTATGTTGTTTGGTATTTTCCAAAACAAATAATACTATTATTTTATCTCTTTTTAAAAGATTTTATTTATTTATGTCAGAGAGAGAGAGAGAGAGAGCCCAAGCAGGGGCGGCAGGCAGAGGGAAAGGGAGAAGCAGGCTCTCCACTGAGCAGGGAGCCCGATGCGGAGCTCGATCCCAGAACCCTGGGATCATGACCTGAGCCGAAGGCAGACGCTTAACCAACTGAGCCACCCAGGCGCCCCAAAACTCTATTATTTTATCTTTACTGACGATGGCCCAGAGTCATTAGGATGAACTCCTGTTGAGCCAGGACAGCAAATCTCTACTCTAAAGGCTATGAAGTATGCTCCTGGGGACCCCCACACTAAATGTTCCCAATCTGCTAAGTTTTGTGCCTGAAAGTCGAGGTCTCACAAAATTGCTTAGATAATTGATTCTTTTTCCACTGGGTTTTCTCCTAGGCTCCATGCACCCAGGGTCTTACTCCCATGACCTCCATCCCTGGTGGACATACCCAGCCCTTGCGAGAGCTTCTGCCATGAAGAGATGACTTGGGGCCACTGTGATCTTTGCCAAACACAAATGAGTATGTCACTGCCCTATTTCCACATTCGCCCTCCCCCTCCACCCCCGTCTGCATGCTTAAAATCATTCGATATTTTCTCACTGCCTTTATGATGACCAGCCATTTCCATTGCCTTCACGTGGCCATAGGCCCCGGCCAGTGTGGCCCTGGTGACTTCTCCAGTTCTCCAAACCCCCTCCCTTACTCTGTCCTCCAGACATCCCAGCCTCTGCAGTCCCTTTTATCTGCCACACTACCATCTGCCACTGGGCCTTTGAACCTACCGTTCCCTCTTCCAGAAGGGTTCTCTTTCCCCATCTCTCCCTTGTCTGCTGAGCTCTTCTTATGCTGCACGTCTCGGCCCCATTGTCCGTTCCCTCTGGAATCTTCTCCTGACTATGCTGACCAGGTCGTTTATCCCTACAGGCTCCCAAAGCCCTGGGTGGCTTCCCTCTGTTGCTCTCATCACAGATGACCAAATCTGCATTTCTTTATGTGATAACACAACCCTCTGTCTCCCCCTGGCCGACATCACTCGCTCCTGAGGGACTCTATTTGTTCTCATCACCGCTGTGTCCCCCATATATCACACAGTGGCTGCTGCATACTTGGTGAATGAGTGAATAAATGAGTGACCCGCTGAAGTCCTAGATCACCAACAGCAAATGATGACCTCCAAGAGCACTGCCTTCATCTACTTTAAGAGAAGATAAATCACCTTTCTTTTCAACAGTCTGTACGTTTCCAGGCATAATCAGGCCCCGCCTCCACTCGAGATCAGCCTTCTACAACCCATACCCATCTTTGCTGGCCTGGACAGGCCCATGTCTGTCATTCTGCAATAAAATGATCTGCTCTTGCCTCCTGAGATGAGCAGGGCACCAGCTCCCAATCCATGGGATTCCCAGTCCCGGGGGAAAGCAAAACGCTGGGCACCCGCTGACCAGCTTCCTTGTTCCCCAGAAGGGCTTCTAGCTATCCACGCTGTCTGACAGGGTCTGCCCCTCCAGCCATGCTCCAAAGGCGACACGAGTCAAAGAGGAACCACAGACACTGTCCCTGCTCACCCAGCAGTGGAAAAGCATGCTCGGTGTGGCCAATGGAACTCTGGGAGCAGGTTCCTCCAGCAGCCAAGGAGCATGAGTCGCCTTCCCGGAGTGCTGGGCACAGCCTGATCACACCATCTCCTAACAACGAAAAGAGCAGGGCTTGACCGCATGCACAGGACAGTCCGGCTTTGGGGGACCCGGGACGTCCAGGGCTTTGCCCACATCAGCAGGTGTCGGGATGTGAACTCCAGACCATGGGTGTGTCGGTCCCAACACAACGGTGCAAACTTTCTCATTGATTTAACCTCTAGTGCCTTAGTTTCCTTCTCCGGGAAGATGGGCTTTTAAATTTAAAAGCACCTATCTTCTAGGGGTGATGGGGAGGGTAAGTGAGTTGATCTAGGCAAAGTACTTAAAACAGGGTCAGCCACGCCAATGCGGGTGCTATAAGAGCTATAAATTAGCTATGATTGTTGCTGTTGGCTATTACAGACATTGGTGAGTTGGCATGTTGAAATATCATCTCCCCTTAAGCATCAGAATGGTCATGGCATAAGATGGATTGATTCATCCAGTTCTAGGCTGGGGGACAATCCCGGTACATATCAATTTTCAAACAATGCACTATTTTAAAAAAGATGTTATTATTTATTTGAGAGAGAGAGAGAAAACACAAGCAGGGGAGGAGCAGAGGGAGAGGGAGAAGCAGACTCCCTGCTGAGCAGGGAGCCCGATGCGGGACTCGATCCCAAAACCCCTGGATCATGACCTGAGCCGAAGGCAGACGCTTAACCGACCGAGCCACCCAGGTGCCCCTGCACTATTTTTTAAATATTTTATGGAAATTGGATGGAAAGGAATGTCAACCTCTCTGGTGTGTCAAAAGGAAGTTTCAGGGGCGCCTGGGTGGCTCTGTCGGTTGAGCATCAGACTCTTGGTTTCAGCTCAGGTCGTGATCTCAGGATCGTGGGATCGAGCCCGGTGTCTGGCTCTGCGCTCAACATGGAGTCTGTTTAAGACTCTCTCTCCCTCTGCCCCTCACCCCTGCTCACTTGCTCGCTCTCTCTCTCTCTAAAATAAATATATACATCTTACAAAAAAAAAAAAAAAAAGGCTGTTTCAGACCCTACAGGGCCCAGGGATCCCTTTGAAGAGCCTGGGGGTCCCTGCAGCCCAAAGGCAGGCAGTGGGGAGGGCAATGAACACTGCAGGCTCTGGGACCAACCTCACCCGGGTTCAAGTCCCGATGCTGCCATTTACTATAGCTTCCCTGCACTCTCCCATGGACCTTTGCTCTGTGCGCATTTGGAAAATGGGAATAATACTAGCATGTTTGTCAGCGGGTCGTTGTGATCATTGACTAAAGCATGGAGCCTATGTCCCAACACAGAGTAAGTCCCTGATAAATGTTCGTTTCTGTGTGTTGGGATCGGACACAGTTCAGCGCTGCGAGGCATCTACCTGCGGTGGCTAAAAGCATAGAAGATGTAGGCTGATCTACAGGGTTTTTCAACCCAAACCCCATGCCCTCTTGCTTTTGTGCCAGTCGTCTTGCTCATAAAAACCAAGCACCCAGAGAGCACTGGGTGACGGGAGTCAGCTCGCTGTCTGGGTTCCGGGTCAACGGGAGTGGACAGTGCTAGAGCAAGTCACTGCTCGAAGGTCTGGACAAAGCAGCGGCCCTGCTTGGCCCCTGTAGACGGGATGTGTCGTTTTGTTTCCAGTGGGGGGATGGTGTCCTCTCTCCTTCTGTACTCACAACGAGTTCTAGCCAGACCGTATACCAGCTGCCTGCCCCGGACTGGTCCAGCGGCCATCTATCTTGATGAGAAGCAATTTCATAAATTCAAACAGGGCACGTTTCCTATGCAATTTACTTAGCTTAACAAGTTAATCAGAGTGCACGAGCCCAATTTGTCACTGTGCTGTTTTCTTTCGCTTGCCGCTCTAATTGTATAAATATGCCCAGAGGTTTGATGAAACTTCTAACGCATCAAACCACACATGGCCCACATACAGAGTGCACCGTGGCTATTTCGAAGCAGGGCGTCCCCCTCCTGAAGCTGGCAGTTCCTGCCCATCCGCCAGCCTGGCACCATTAGGTGGCTACTCCTTTGGATTCAGCCTGGGATCCCAGAGCCTGGGGCACGGCAGGCGGGCGGCGGGTAAGGCGTGAGGATGCTGCAGAAGGCAGTGGTCCTGTCCCCTCTCCTATCCTCTCTGTCTTTGGGATTATGCAGAAGGGCCAATGGCCAGCCTCAGGGGCTCGAGAGCTCCATCCCTCCGGGGTCCAGGCGTCTTCTGTCAGCGTGTCGTCTGAACCACTTTCAGCGCCTGATTTATGAAGAGGCGGGTGGTGAGGCTGTCCTCCCAGCCCCTGGAAACTGATAATAAATCTGAGACAGGCACCAGAGTAGTGCAGCTCTTGGGGCTGGATGGCCAAGGAAAGGCGGAGGCGGGTAAAGCCAAACGAATGTGTCCGCATTTTGTTCTGGAAGTGTGACTTTGTAAGATTCCCTCTTTATTTGTTTTGAATTCCCGCCTTTCGGATTTCAGCCTTCTGTCTCCTCTGTGTTCCCATTCGCATTTTGACCTATAAATTTAAGTTTAATAAAGGAGGTGTCTAGCGAGGAGATAAAACGTTCTGCAAGACAGAACACTCCTCTCCCCACCGCGCCCCCCATCTTTCACACATGTTGTCTCAAGCCACAGATGTTTCCTCTGCTTTATCGGTGTGCTGAAAAGAAATCCAATATGCCGGGTTTTCAAATTTTCCGCCACAGAAACAAAGACAACAGGAGGGGGAGAGAGGGCGTGCTTCGCACGGAGCCCCGGCTAGGCTAGGAGGGAAATGAGAAGGGTGGGTGCCTGGGAGAGTGAAGGCAGTGGATCGCTGCTACTCCAGCTCACCCCCTGGCCCAGCTGAACCACATTCAAGTAAGACGTGCTCTGCCCACCTGTCAGGCACGGCGGCCCAGGCTACCCTGATGTCACGTTCCTAATGATCTTCCAGGGCTCCAGTTACGGGCCAGGCTGGGACTGTGCACATGGCCCGGTGGAGAGCTGCCCAGACCCTCTGCCCCGCTGCCTCACTCCCTGGGGATTCCTATCTCCCTGTGAGGTTAACTGCTCATGCCCTTATCCAGGGCCCTCCCGTGCCATGGCCCTTCCCACCACCTCCAGGAAGTCCCCTGGTGACCGAGTCCTCCGCCCACCCCATCCCACCGTCTCAGATGTCACCTAGCCACCAAAACTACTCTAGTAAGGGTTTTAACCTTAATTAACACCCATGGTAGCATCTACCGGAATGCTCACACCCCCAGGAGTCTGAACCGTGTCCCTAGCCACCCGGACCTAAAGTGTGGCCAAGGAGGCTCCCACCCCATTCCAGCCATTCATTACATCATCCTGTTGCCAGACTTGTGTCCCCCCTGCACCCCTCCCTCTCTGGCTACTGCCCCTGCCTGAGTTCATACACACCTCCCTCAAGACCCTGGCATGGGGGGCACCTGGGTGGCTCAGTCAGTTGGAAAAAAAGAAAAAGAAAAAAAAAAAAAAGATCCCGGCATGGGCAAATGCTTGTTTTTGTTTTTGTTTTTTTTGTCAGAGAGAGAAAGAGCACACAAGCAGGGGGAACGGCAGGCAGAGGGAGAAGCAGGACCCCGGGATCACAACCTGAGCCAAAGGCAGGCGCTTAACCGACTGAGCCACCCAGGTGTCCCAAATGGTTGATTTTAATAGATATTTATTTTAATGTGGAATAGAAAATAAATGGCTTTTTTCCCCCCACTTTAATGGTGATATAAAGGTCTCTTTTGGAACAAATGGATCTAACTATAGAAGTAAGTCCATTTACAGTTTGAAAAGGTAGATAAGGGAGCCGGGCTACCTAGCGTGCTGATGGGGCAGACTGGCTGAGAGCAAGCACACTCCCGAGTCTGAAACCCAGCTCTGCGGTTTCCTTGCTGTATGACCTTGAGCAAGGTCCTTAACCTCTCTGTCCCTCCCAGGATTGCAGTGAGGATTAAGCGAGTTACTGCTGCTTCTACACAGCGTGAGGTCCGTACGGTGTTGCTTCATCACCATCGGGGAACTCGGAACCATCAAGGCTGCTCCCTGTGCTTCTGGAATAATGTTTCTAAAAGCTGAACCTGATCATATCACATCCCGACTGAGAACTCTTTCCACTGCTGGGAGGATGGAGTCCGAACTTACCACAGTGGCCCCCAAGGTCTTCCACGGTCTATCTCCAGCTGATTTCTACATCTTCCTCCCCGGCCCTTGGTCATCTGTACTCTCTGCTGCTGCCACGCCAAACCCCTTACTGCGCCCCAAACGCACTTCATCCTCTCGTCATGCCTCCGTGCATTCGTCATGCCGTGCCTTCCGCCAGACCTGCCTTTCCCTCATCTTGTCCATGGAGGGCAAACTCCTCCTCATGTTTCAAGACTCGTTTCAAATATCAGTTCATGCAGGGATCTTCCTTGTACCTGCTCCCCAGCCAGGGTTAGGCTCTCTGAAACAGCAAAAATAAGTGAATAAATAAATAAATAAATATAGATTGCCCAAAGTGACTCCATTTAAAATCACAAAGCTAAACTTATTCGAAGTTAAAACATCTATTCTTTTAAAATTATACATGGAATCCCATGTTCATCGTGCAAAAGGGTTTGGTTTCGAGTTTATGTTGAACAATGAAAGGGAAATTATTTCAGATACATTTATCTGATTTTTTTTTAAAGATTTTAATTTATTTATTTGTCAGAGAGAGAGAAAGCGAGAGACAGAGCACGAGCTGGGAGGGGAGGGGGCGGGCTCGATCCCAGGACCCTGAGATCATAACCCGAGCCCTAGACAGACGCTTAACCCACTGAGCCACCCAGGCGCCCCACATTTACTTGATGTTTAACAACTTTTAGGCCACAGTGACAACCGAGTTCATTTTGAGAACTCACCAAGAACAACTTATGTTCTTAGCTATCATTTCCCTATGCTAAGAACCACTGCGTGGTGTGTTGATCCAAGTTTTCTCCCCGTGTTTGACTTACAAAGCAAGCTTATTACCCATTTTGTGAACACACCAGAGGACTTGATTCATTTTCTCAAGATTCTCTCAGGACCTTGACCCCGAACTCATCCTTTGGCGAAGCACTGAGTGGGTCATCATCCCCATTGCTCTTCCTTTATTCACTGGCCCACTGCCTTAGCTCCACCAGGTTCTCTTCGAGCAGAGGCTTTGAGAACAGCCCTGAGGACTTCCCCAGCATCACCTGCATCAGCTTCGTGAAACCCTGCATCTTTACAAGACTGGTGATTTCAGATTGCAGTTACTTTGAGCTGTGTTAGCCGTGTGTTTTACGATGTGGACAGCAGAGGATCATGCAGACAGATTTATGCAGGGCATTTGCTTCTCTCCACAGCCCGAGCTTTCGGAGACTTCAAAAATTAATACTCAGTTGGCAAGGACCTTGGTCTCTCTTCTATGTCCGACCATCTCCAGGTTATAACCGGATGTTTATCTTTGGGGGCGCACACAAGATGTGCATTCAGTCCTCATGTCCCCCTTTCTGCGTCTGTTCCCCTCACTCCTCTCTTCTTTTCCAAGCTCTGCGCCAGCCTCCCAACACCCCCAGGCAACGACACACACAGCCTTTTCTTCTTGCTCTCATTTTCAAAATACTTGAGGTTGAGAAAGGCAGTTCTCGTAGATAACATCAGGCAGGAATGGCACATATATTTTAATTATTATGCCAAGCCTTATCAATTAATGTGGCTGCTCCCAAGGTCAAGGGTCTGAGACCAAGTACTGCCTCTGTGCGAAAGGCCGCCATTGTAGACGACCTATGTCTGCCCTGAGCTCAACCTGAGAGTGGTAGGAATGTGTAATGGGATTCTAAAACTGGTCCAACGTGGGTTTTAGACCCGTGGCTCCTCCCCAGGAGTTCTGCATAGCAAGTCCCCTCTCTCGTCCTGTTCAACAGTCTAGAAACCACCCACAAAACCTCTTCTATATGCCAGAGCTTAGCCCAGAGCCCCGAGGAAGGAGCAGCTTAGGCCCCTATAAAGGAGTCTCTCATTGCTGACCGGGGTGGGGATGGGGTAAGGAAGCTTTTTTTCCTCCTTTAGAAATACCCCCAGCCCCAAGATATTCACCTCTCCAGTCCTGAGGAAGAGTGTGAGCCGCATTTCCCACATTCATCGGCATAGGTCACAGAGCTGCTAGAACCAGAGACACCAGAAACAGGTCATCAAAAACAAGTCTCCATTTTGGTAGCTCCTACTCCCTTTCAATTAAACAATCCATTCGTTCATTCATTCATTTGTTCATTCACTCATTCAGTGAGTCAGACCATCAGTCAACAGTCCTATGACACAGAAGTCGGCCAGGTCCACCCTGGGAGCAGGGTGGGCATGTCAAACAAATCTTTTAGAAGGAGCAATAGTTTTGTGAGGTCATCATTTTTATAATGCCAAATTTATTGTTTAATTCTTAAATTTTTATTCTGGAGAATTTGAACAAATACAAAGGGTGACAGAATATAATAAACCTCCACATATCCTTCACCCAATCCCATCAATATATTTACTGTTAATTACATAAAGAGCACATGAATACATTCAATTTGTAAAAATTGTTTTCAAAGAGTCGATATAAAGCTTGAGATCTCCTCCCCCAATCCCATGTCCCTTGCCAGAGGTGACTACTATCATTAGTTTGATGGGTCGTCCTCCTGACCTCTTTCTATAGATACCTCTAGAAATATGTGGTATTGCTTTGGCTTTGTTCTGTGAGTCTGTTTGTTTGTTTTTTAAGTGTTGCATTTATATGATTTATTTTGCAACTGTTTGGATCTTTCTGCACTCCGTTGTTTTTTGTTTTTTTTTTTTTTCACCAACAGCAAGTCTTAGAGAGTTTTCCAAGTCTGTATATAGAGTTCCACCCTTCGGTCATCACTGAGAGTTCACGCTAACCAGAGGGGACAAGGACATGAAGTAAACCCCAGGGAGATGATAGCAGTCCCAGTACATTATTTTTTTTTTTAAAGATTTTATTTATTTATTTGAGACAGAGAGAATGAGAAAGAGAGAGCACATGAGGGGGGGGAGGGTCAGAGGGAGAAGCAAGCTCCCCGCCGAGCAGGGAGCCCGATGCGGGACTCGATCCCGGGACTCCAGGATCATGACCTGAGCCGAAGGCAGTCACTTAACCAGCTGAGCCACCCAGGCGCCCCCAGTACATTATTTAACCATTGCACTGGGATCGACATTTAGGTTGTTTCCAGCTGCCTACTAAACAATGCTGCAATAAACATCTTTGTGCAAAGTATCCTGAGTTCGTGTGTAATCACCTTCCTAGGTGGTAGATATTTACAGGTGGAATTGCTGGGTCAGGGGCGTGCTAGAACTAAAAAATATTCTTTTCCCCACATTACACAATACTGAAATTGTTACACTTGAAAATTTTTTGCAGTCTCATAGGTGAACGGATGTATATGATTTAAATTTTAATTTGCACTTCACCGATAACTGGTAGATCTGAGTTATCTGTTCTTTCTTTGGGTTGCTTTGATCTTCTTATATTATTTATATATATATATATATTATTTAATAAAGATGAAGGTATTTGAGGCGAAGACACATGGCCTGTGGTGGCCACCACCAGGGTTTATTTCATGTCTCCTGTCCCCTCTGGTTACCAGAAATCCTCAGTGAGGCTGAGTGGTCCCACTGGTTGAGCGTTGTGAGCTCTGTGGTTGGAGGTTATAATAGAAGCACCGGACATGGGCCCTGACATCCAGGATTGGAGGAGATTCCAGAAAAAATGAGACTTCTCTGACATCTTTAACCAGGGAAGGCATCTTGGAGGAGAAGCTAGACAGGCTGTGTTAAGGGTCCGAGACGGTCGAGGGAAGAGCAAGCCGAGAGGCCTTGGCTCCAAAGTGTGGGTTCCCAGCCCTGGCACCTCTCCACCGCTTCGAGGCCCCATGCTGAACAATCAAAGCGACGGACAGCCTACCCCATTAGGGCCCGGCCCGTGGGACCCAGTCATCCCTGGAGAACTGGCATCAGCCCCAGGAGAGGGCACAGCTGCAGAAGAAGCTAATGTTACAGGTAATTTTGGCAATTAAGACTCATGTTCAGTTAAATGGATTTATATCATGTTACTTGGGAGGCCCAGCAATCTGGGGTAGGTCCCAAGTGGAATTAAGCACGGAGAACTCTAAGTTCCAAGCCCAACCCCGCCCCAGGCTTCCTGTCCAAGAGTACCTTTCCTGCTCCCCGTCCAAGAGCTTACAGCAAGAGAAGCCCCTGACGGAGGGGCTCCCTATTCCACTTCCCTGAATTTCTACACAGAACCTGGCAACACATCAACTATGTGACATCCCCTTTGCATCTTTAAAACAACCTTGTGAGGACCCTCCCCGTTTTTCAGATGGGAAAACTGAGTCTGGGAAAGCTGAAGGCTCTTCTTTAAGGACACTCCTAAGACGACTCAAACTCAGAGATTATGACTGAAGATCTAGAGGTCTCTTCCTCATACCAGTATTTAAAGTTTTTTGTCTTGTTTTATTTTGGTTTTGCTTTATCTGTAGGTCAGCTGTACCATGATTTACTTAATATTTTTCTCTGAGTTAATTCCCTTGTGAAAACTTATATACCTTCCTCTAGCAGGAATACTCAGGAAATCATAGTTTTGATGGATAAACTACATATGTTTACTTATATGCCCATGTAACTATGGAATAAACAGAAAAACCTCATTTTGTATATTACCCAAAAGTCTCCTATGGATGGCCAGGACTCCGCATTCATGCCTCACCTTGGAAACACTGCCTGAGAGCACACTGCTTCTTTGGGGGACTGTACCCCTCCACCTGGAGGCCAGCCCTCTGGCTGGGGGCAGGGGTACAAGGGTGAATAAACTCTGGTGTCAGGCAGACCAAATCCTATCCTCGCTACTTACTATCTTTCTGAACTTGATCAAGCCTCTTAGTCTCTCTGAGTCTCAGTGTCTGTGTCTGTAAAATGGGGCTAATCATAGTACCCTCCTTTTGGGCTGCTGAGATAATTAAATAATGCAGGAGATGAGTGTGACACTTGGCAGCTTCTCATTATGTTCTGTGGTCTCTGGGAAGGAAAGGAAGCAGGGCATGGCCTGGTTCCTGCCTGCAAGAGACCAGGGTAGAGTTCAAGTGCCTGATGATCTGCAAGGCCCAGTGTTCATACCTCTGGGCAGAATGCAGAGTCTTCAAAGCTTCTGCTTGGAGCTCAGGCCTCCATTTGGCTACACTCTGAGCTCAATCCAGACAGGAAAAGTAAGGACCTCAGAGCAGCTGGCTGGTCCCCCCTCTCCCTCCCCACCCCACCCCCCGCCCCACAATCTGGACAGGGCAGGCAAGGCTGGGACATGGGAGTTTGAGGAAAAATTGCTTGGGTTCGCTGCCGTCTCCACTGATCTCACTAAACGATTCAGGGCACATCTATCTGCTTTGAGGGTGGGCTCCACCTGGGATTCCCAGGAAGCTGGAACCCCCGCCTATGCATAGGAGTGGGGGTGTGGACAGAGCCACAGGATGACGTTGTTTGTGGGCCTTGGGCACTTTTACTCTTGCAGGCCCCTTCCTTCGTAAAAAAAAAAAAAAATGTTAGAACTTATATTTTACAACCGTGTTGGTATAAAAACAAATCGAATCCTGGCTGGAATCGTTATTTATTTATTACTATCACATTCATCTTCTTCTTCTGATTTTAAAAGAAATTTACATGAAGACCTTCTCATGCACCCCTAGAAGTACTGTGGGCTTAGCCACTGTGCCTACCATACCTGGAGGACAGGCTGTCTCGGGGTGTAGGGGGTCTCAGGGTATAGAGGTGTTCCCTAGTGCAGAGCCCAAAAGGTAAATGCCCATGGAGGAGTTGCTCCCAAATTGACGCTCAGGTACTCCAGGGTAAGCCTGAGTTTTCCAAACAGTCTGCAAGGGGCTGTCCTCACTTAGACAGTGGAACCAGACCAGAGGCAAGAGCAAACAGCCCGGGCTGGATCCTAGGGTTCAGATACCAGATTCCAGCTCCTCTCCAAATGTCAAAAGTGGAAAGAGAAACCCAACCAAGGAGAGGAGCTTGATGGGTGCTCCGGCCCTAGGAACCAACGTCTCCCACCCAAGGTCAGTGTGACCCTCAACAGACTCCCACCCGACATGTTCCCATTCCCCACTCCCCAAATACAAGTTCATAGTAGCAGGACAAGCCCTCAGCCTGGCCAGCTCTGTGTAGAATACTTCCCTGATTGTTGGAAGCAGAGCCCTTGGTTGAGAATGGCAAACCAACCCAAGTTGCTTCTGCAAAAGGGGGGATTTGTCACAAGGCTTTAGGATATTTCAGGGAAGCCAAGGGCAGGAAAACACTGCTTCTTCGGGGGAGACTGGAACCAGGAGCTAGAGAACCATCTGGGGGAGGGCTCTCTCTCTTTCGTCTCTGTGTCTGTACACTTCATTCTTTTCCTCGGCAACCTGGTCCGGCGGCAAAATATGGCAGCCCCATGCCTTCCGAGATTTCGAGTTCCCATTCGGGACGCCCTCAGACACCGCAGGGCTGTCTCTTTGCCTTGAATTCCTGATCGCCAGGAAAGAGGAGCTGATGGCTCAGCTTGGGTCAGGGGCCCTTCCAGAAAGGGACTCCTGGGTGCCTGTGTCCTGAGGATTAAAAAGCAATTCTAGGTTCCAAGGAGCTGGGAGGCCAGCTGGGAAGCTCCCTTAGCTTGGGCCACCCAGTTTAATCACATAGTTCATCAGAAGCAGAAGGAACGGAAGTCGAGTTGGGTAGCCAAAATGCACCCAGTCTGCTGGATGAGGCGACCACGGGGGGGTGGCAGGCGAGCCATCATCCTGACCCAGCTGTCCTCATTGACGTTGCTTACAATCCTTCAACCAGAGTGTGATATTTACCCAACAGCCACCCCTGGGGTCTTGGTCACAAACACACCACCCGGACCGGGCCACAAAGAGCACTAGGGCCGCAGGACTCCCTTTTGTGCCAGGACGCAACCCTCTTTCCAAACTGAGGATGGTTCCCTGACACACACCCCTTCTCCACGGGCCCCGAGGTGAGACTCAGCAAGAGAAAAGCAGATCCAGGCCGGGCGCACCTCGGAGACCGGCGGGAGATGGCAGTCCCCATCCAATAGCTCAGCTCTGGGCAGCGGCTGAGCCTTCAAGCCAAGAAAGCTACGGCCAACATACCAGCATCCCAGACGCTGAGCAGATGAGATTGATCTTCTGCTGTCTCTCCCAGGGAGCATGCCAAGTTCCCCGGACCCAGCCAGTGCTGACATTTAAAGCAAAGTGTGTGTCAACCATATTCAACAATATCCCAGGCTGTGGGTTATTAAGTGCAGGGTGAATTGACCACAGCAATTAAACTGAGATTAGGGAGTGATAAAGCC